GAGTTCTTCAGTAGTGACGGGCGATCTAGACTGACTCTTTACAGCCCTGGTGATCATGAGGAGCTCTTCAGTAGTGACGGGCGATCTAGACTGACTCTGGTGATGGTGGAAGACTTTATTTGAAGTTACTGGCAATCTAAACCACAGATCAGAGGAGGGGAGCTCGTGCTTAAGGCTGAATGAAGATAGAGTGCTGAGTGCTGAAGGTAGAGTGGAGATGGGCTCCAAACAAAGAAGACAGAAAAGCAGGATTAGGAATGGCAGAATAATCCCAAATCACAGTCCGAGGTGTACGTTAGGGGGTTTTCAGACCCCACCCCCAGGGTACTGGGGTAGCTGCTCTTCCACGTTTTTATTGGCTCTTGAGCTCTTCCTGCCCAAGCCATGGAGACCAGAGAAACTGAGGCCAACAAACCCCCATTGTCTATCCACTCCGCTCCTGCTCAGTTTCAGGTCAGTTATTTTATTGCACGTTTCCCCAGAATATAAAAAAATAGAACTGACTTGAGACCTCCCGCTCTCTAGGGGGCGCTGTCCTGGCGGGGGTGGGGGTGTTCGCTTGTAATCAGCCACTGTGAGGGAGTCCGCCACCCCGCTGTACTCCCCCAAAGCAGAGTTCTTTCAGACAAATAATTAAAAAACAGGAATTAGCCCATTTGTTTCATCTTGGAAAGTCCCGTTTTGTCCCTCTGCCTGCTGCTATGTCATTGCCACAGTCTCATTGCCCCCGGATCGGGATTAGCCCATAGCCAGGCATCCAGTTCAGGTCTTCCCAGAAAGTCCGAGCGCATCTCCTGGACGTTGAGGGGGACCGAGGGTGGAATTCCCTGGGCTGTAAAATCTTGGCACGGTTTTGAAAAGAAGGGTGGTGGAGGAGGGGGAGATGGCTTCAGGCCAGTGTTTGCACACGTGGTGGTGTAAGGTCATGGCAGGTATATGACCCACGACCTCCAGGCCCGTCTCCTTCAGGTCAGCTCCTCTGCTCCCGGATCCTTCAGGATTTGAGACTACAGATCTTGAAGGGGTCCAGACGTCAACCTCTGGAGACACAGCCAAGACATCCTGCAGGGCCTGAGCTAGACTCACACACACAGGCACACACCAACGCACACTCAACACAGCCTTGAACCCAACACACACTCAACACACCCTCAAACACAACATACACGCAGGCACACACCAACACACCCTCAAACACAACATGCACACCAACACACACTCGGGTACACACCAACACACACTCGCACACCTTCAAACACAACACACATACAGGTACACATCAACGCACACTCAACGCACCCTCGCACACGGATACACACACTCACACAGCCCTCTCAGAAACCCCCAGGAACAGCAGCCAGTGGCAGTGGGATTCCAATTTGATCGCGAACGGGGGCCGACTCGCAGTGAGGGCCCCCCTCCAGCTCCCCCAGCCCTCAGACCTCAGTCTCCACGCCGGTGAGTTTCGGGGTGAGGATGCGGGGGGTGACCCCGGAGTTGAGGTCGTTCTCGAACTCCAGCAGCTGGCCCATGAAGTTGAGGTTGGGCGAGATGACGGGGCGCCTGCCCTTCACATACTTGTAGGCGTCCGTCATGGTCATGAGGCTGTGCTTCATCAGGTAGGCGATGACGATGGTGGCCGAGCGCGACACCCCCGCCTGGCAGTGGATCAGCACCCCCTTCCTGCACTGGTGCGCCTCCTCTGGTGAGACACAGGAACAGCAGGCCAGCAGGTCAGACAGGTGAAGGGCTAGAATACACCTCTGCCTCCAGAGAGAGAGAGGAGCAGAGGGAGAGGGATAGGAGCAGAGGAAGAGGGAGAGACAGAGGAGACATCAAGAGGGAGGGAGAGGGGAGGGAGGAAAGGGGGAAAGAGAGACGGGAGAGATCGGGAGGGAGGACGGGGAGAGATCGGGAGGGAGGAGAGGGAGACGGGAGGGAGGAGAGGGAGACGGGAGGGAGGAGAGGGAGACGGGAGAGATCGGGAGGGAGGAGGGGGAGAGATCGGGAGGGAGGAGAGGGAGACGGGAGAGATCGGGAGGGAGGAGAGGGAGAGATCGGGAGGGAGGAGAGGGAGACAAAAGAGATCAGGAGGGAGGAGAGGGAGACAGGAGAGATCAGGAGGGA